ACTGTATGTCCCTATGTTTTAAACATGGTTTCTTATTTTGTGACTGATGGTCTTGCTAGGACCAGGATATCACACAGTGTGCATTTCTGTATTTAGATAACGTGAGCTGAATTTTACTGACAGAGGAAACTAGATCTGTATCAGACCACTGTGGCTTAGAACAAGCTCACAACCCTTCTCAAACTTTCAGTGATTAGATTTTGTTTTTTCAACTACTCTTGCAGTTTCAACAGCTACAAAGAAATATGCACTCTCCACAGAAATTACAAATACTACTATCATACACACGTGTGTATTTTCTTCAGGAATCAAAAAATCAGTTTTTCAGCTTATTTCACCTTACCTAGTAAACTGTAACTATGATCAGACCTCTTTGGTTTGAATATGAACTTAAGTCCACTGCAAAGAACTCGTAACTCCAACCTTCAGTGTTCTATTTGGGTCAATCAGAAAAGCTCATTTGAGAGACCATATACGTCAGGGAGGAAGGAATTAGATGCTCTGCACACACTCAAGACACACACAACCATATAGCTCTGAAAAGAATGCTCACAAAGAGCATCGGGGAAACACAACTGCAACTGAGCACATATGCTGTAAGTATAATTAAAAAAATATTGCAAACTGGCCTATGGTAAATACAAGAAAATAACCTTTCTGTTCATTGAAATGCTTAGAAAGAAAGATTTGAAGTAGTAACAAATTAGTGACTGGATTTCTTCCCTCCCAACCCCCTTAAAGTTTATTATTCTGATACCTTTAAAGAAACCAAGTTTTTAGAATAGCAATTTTACAATGAGCTGGCAATAGATGCCAAATTACCTAAACCACAGTGATATTTCCACACATTCCATTTATTATCCTTTCTCTAAACTCTCTTGCAGGACTGCCTGCCTCAGCTCAGGAGGAACTGAATCCTTTCTAGTACCATCATCATCTCAACTTACCTTCAGGTGTCTGTAAGGGCTTCTCTGCTAATCTCTCCAACCTCAATTTATTCATCTTTCTTCATTACCTTGTCGCCTGCTGCCTCTTCTCCATTAAAATTTAACCAGCTAAGTACTCTCATCTTCCTTAGCCGCACTGGTTCTTACTCTCTTTCCCCTTTCTTAGAAAAACAAAATCCCTTTTATGATACATTTTTCAATGAAAGTTACAAATAAAACAATACTCTGTGCTCTTAAATTTTGAAAAATGTCCACAGATGTAGACCCAACGAATGCCTCAAAGGTTAAGCAATCTTCAATCAGATACTGAATGACAGATGAAGCACAGAAAGAGATGAGGGTGTTTTATAAGACAACATCTCATCTGGTGACTTGCACTACAGTGTTAGAGGCAGATTAAATTGCATAGGATGCCACATAATGCATCCCCTGCCCATTTTTTTCAAAGGAAAAAAACCAAATTAAAGCAACAATATACACAGTTTAAGTCATTGATGTATCATTTAATTTAGCTAAATCATGGTGGGAAATGCAGGATGTTTGTATCCATGCAACATTTCGTGCACTAGGTATTTACTTATATGAGCATCACAAACAAAAGGATTTTGACAGTAGAATAAAGGCTTTTCAGTGCCTAATCTCAATTTGCAAAGAACTAACTTCTGTTTAAATCAATTAATGCTGGATCAGACCCAGTGAAAATGCACTGTAGGAAAACTTGCTACAGCAAGAACAGTCACTTCAACAAGACAATCAGTTCTCCCCCTCTTAATGTATTCAATCTACATTAAGAACTAGTATTCCATGTGAATCTGAAAGGCGAGTATTTCACATACATGCTTACACAGATTGATACATACCTATAACTATATCAAAAAGGATATGAATAACTCCTTCGTCAACTCTGCAGGCAGAAGTTTGCAACTGATCTTCCAGATGCACCAATTTCTCACTTATTGCTTCACATTTTTCTCCCAACTCTGCAGAAAATATGAAGAACTCCTACAGAAAGTTGAAAAAGAAAGGAGGCATGTTTGCTGCTGACTGCACTTTTCTGCATCAAATTTGCATCAAATTAAGGGGAAAATAAAACATTAGTAGGGGATATGATATTTTGCAGCGCTAAGACAGTGCCTGAAAGCAAATTCCCATTAGAGAGACAAAAAGTTGTTACAATATAATAAATTAGAGATTTATATAACATGGAATGAGCTTGTGGTCTCACTATTTCCCAGCAGAAAAAGAGTCATCATCTCACTTTCAACAGAGGATTAAAGGGGTGTGAAGACTGAACTGCTCTCCCTCTTCCCTGTTGTCTCACCACAGCAGGGGAGGGAAATCTCATGTTGACTACACCATTTAGGTTCCTAAATTTCAAGTTATTCATGTAAATATGATTTACACTTCTAGGCCACTTAAATATTTCAAGAAGCATCACTTTTGGTATCTCTTATAAACACAAAATGTACCTACTTTTTTGAGGAAAAAATCTGGCTAGAATACTTAGGGACTTTGCGCAACAGATCAGAGAAAATGCATCAAAGCCTTAGACGTTACAAGATGAAACTACACATTTTTACTGTATTATCATGAAACAAGACTAAATTTTCAAAACTAATGCTTCTCTACTTAGAACTTAAACAGACAAATATTTTTTCTATTTTAAACTATTACATCAGTTACAAAGTCCTTCCCATAAGTTTGTCTGCTTTCAGATATATTGCACAAGGGTAATTTGTATATTTTATATTTTGTATTGAGTACTTCTTTCAGAAAGGACCTAAATAAGCAGCAAATATGAGAGGAAGAGGGGGGGGAAAAAAATTCAATGAATTTCTGCAGCACTGAGACAAGCCTCTCCTCTCCCTTCCAAGGCATCATAGTTCTGTCTACAGTGAATGACAGAGATTATCTATAAAAAAAAAGATTATGGTACCAAGATGAAGTTCTGCATGAGCCATGTTGAAAAACTTGGGAGTCATTTATCAGCTGGAATCCAGAAAATTGGATTTTCTCTAGACCTAGTCTATGGGCTTGTCCATAAAGCCAGCTGTACATGTGGCCATATACAATCTTGAGAAAGTTTTTCTGCTTTAAAAAAGTACTTGTAGTCCTTCGCACTGCTCTGTTGCTGTAATAGCAGCCATCAGTGGTTGTTTAAGAGAAATCAAGCATTCAATCAAAGACCTTTCAAAAGAAATCCTACTAATGCTTGTTGGAACACTGCCCATTGTGAAACAATCTGATTTTTTGGTAAACGCATTTACCAGACGTCAGTTCTGTGCTATCCTTACACTTTGCATCACATCGTGCACACACAGAGTCAAATGTCAGAAGAGCTCTGCTTGCTGGCACATCCTCTGTTACAGCACAAAGCTTTGACCTTTCTGCTTTCCTACATCTTCTGCCAGACATGGGTATCCAGCAGGTCGCACGGGTATGCAACCAGCTGCATTTTGAATCCTGGACAAGGGAGCTGGTTAAGAGAAGTCACATTGCAAATGCCCAGAGCTGAGAAAGAGAAGCACAACATGAGAACCAGCTGGCTGAGTCCCTGGCTCTGTGCACAAGACCTGAGCAGCCATCTGCAGTCATTACCAAACATCAGAATTTACAGCAGTGCTCCACAGAATTTATAGACATAAAAATGACCCATTGTTTTTAAAATAAGAACGGGGAGAAGGTACACATTGTCCCTAGGGCAACCAGGAACATCCTTCTCTCAAGACCAGGAACAGGATATGAGGAACAAGTCTTCCATCCAGCTGCTAAATCACTATTCAGTACACCAGCAGGACTCCATATGCTGTCAGGGAGTGGGATAACCCAGGCAATTTATATCAATAGAAAGCTCTTAGGGAATCATTCTGTGATACATGTGCAAGAACAGATGACAGTTGTCTAAAAGAACTTGCGTCTTGGGCTAGAGAAATCAGTAAATTACAAAAACCTAGTATTCTGAAAGCACACCTAAAATTACAACCACCTAGAGACAGCACCACCTCTGAATGCTGATTTTTCTCTAATAGTTAATTACACGTAAGAAAATCAGGGCTTCACATAAACATCATATCATACACGAGAAAACAAGGCAAAAAACATTCAGTGCTATACAATCATCGAACAGTTAATTTAGGAAGAACAGCTTTTAATTAATGCACTAACTCCTAAGTATTGCTCTAACAAACAAAAGCCATAAGTGAAGTTTTCAAACCAGACTTTTTCTACAGACTGTGTACTTTGACAAAGTAAATTAGTCCTGTATGGATCCTGAAGAACTGCTATCTTATAGGGACACATAAAAAGAAGATTCTTGCTCTTATAATATCAAGATATTGAGTACTTTAGTCTCATCCAGTCACTACTTTTATCAAGAGCTGTTACTATATGAGATTTTGGATCACATCCATGCTGGCAAGAAGGATGATACGTCTAGGCCTGATTTGAAATTACTACAGTTACTACAGACAGCAAAATAAAAAAAAAAAAGTACATGTCAGAGTACACTCCTGAACACCTGTGACATTAAGTATATTTAAATACAAAAAGCATTATAAAGACATGCATTACAGCAGGGTATCCCTTTCTTTTTTAGGGTACTGTTAATGTCAGGAACATTTATCCAGATAATTGGTCACCCAATTAGCACTATCATCAGTTGCTGTAAGAGAAGATCCATTTCCTCCACTTTAAAACTGCCCTCACGTTTCCTGTCTCATATATGCAAATACAAGGAGTTCATCGGGCAGCTCATCTAAACGATGCCCACTGGCTGGACTTGCGTGGCCCTGCTGTGAAGATCCACAGCGGAAAATTTTTCCCTATTCACTGTGTCAGTGAATGTACAGGGCAAAACCAGCCATTCAGACCTATCCCCTCACTGAATGTCAGATGGGTTGAAAGATGCTGGAGACAGCATTTAGATACTTGGTTGGCAAAACAGGCTCCAAGTTGCAAGCATGGCCTAGCTCTAACATGTTCAGATCCTGAAAACCTGAGATAAAATATAACTGCAGCTTGAAATCCACAGTCACAGTGCAGCTGGATGACTACACTTCTTGGTGTACTGCTACATCATCTGATTTCACCTTTGAGGACTTCTTTTCCCTTTCAAAATAAAAGTTTACAGCCAAATAATGAAAGGTCCCAGGAAGGACAGAAGGAAGGAATCCAGTGAACAAGCCCCCAAGACTCTAGGACTTCAGATGAACGCTCATTCTGTAGCAAAGACATCTCATGGTGCTTTGCATCAGCACTAACCTGTATTTTGGGGTTCTAAACTTTGGCTAGTAGCTTCTACCCCACTGCAATTACAGGCAAGGACTTCATTGGTGCATTGGTCTCGCACTAAAAATAAGAGACTATAGTTTTAAACTCACTGGCTCCAATTCCTCTGTCAACTGAATACTCAAGATTCCCACTTAAGTAAAATGTCCATTCTATCTCATGGGAAAAAATAGAGCGTATTCTTCCTGAATGATCACATTTTGAGTATGTAATGAATTGTCTAAAAAAGTAACAAAAATCCTGTTTACTTTGGAAATTAAGATAAACAAACAATGAGTACTAGGAAAATGTGCCTAATGCAGAATTTTTACAACAAAATGGGAAGGCAGGGAAATCTGAGCAAGTAAAAATTGGATCAAACTTGTTTAGGTCTTTAAAGACTTGAAATCCATTTAACTGTAACTATATGCCTATGGTTGCACTACAGTGTAAAACAGCTCCATCAGGGAGGGGTTATATTCTATTAATCTTAAACTCCTAATAGGTATTTTGCAGTTTAATTCCTCTTTAATACAGCAGTAAGAGTGTATGGATAAACTATTTTTGCACCTACATGACACAGCTGCCTTTTTAGTTGAAATGAGAAGTTCCTCCATAGTATAGACAAGCATCATCTCTCAGGAACTTAATTCCAGGTGTCACCTGAAGAATGCAGGAGGGTCATCATATAAATTAAGGTTTTCCAGAACACACACACACTTTTTTTTATATATATATATATATATATATACACACACATGACCTTTCTTACTTTGGATTGGAAAGATGTGGTTGTGCAGAGAACTCTCTTAGTTTAACATCAAGAAGAGTTACAAATGAAATGGAAAAAAAAAATATACTGCTCTAAAAAAATACACAAGAATAATTCTAAATACTCAACCAATTCCACAGCTTCTGCTCCCAGGCCCTCAATTTAAAAAAGAGTTGGATAACCCAGAGAAATAGATATGAAAGATTTCTCTCAGTGCCTTTCACGCCTTGTAACGTCACTGGTATCATTTTTATTTTACATTTGTCTATGTAGGCAGGGAAACTGCTGCCAGTGACACACAAACTATTCAGAACAGCTCCCAGTTGGAAAGTGCCACTTTACACTGATCAACAACATCTCTGAGAGGAGAGTGGACTCTGCCTCCAGCTCAACATATTAATAAAATACAACTCATCCAAGCTTGTAGGTTATGTCAATACTACAAGCTATTGTAATTCTTAAGACTTCTTCAGTTATTTTTGCACTAACAGCACTTTTAGGAAGCAGCTAGGAGAGGTTGCAGGAGTCAGAAAAGAGCTGAGATGCAATATTGCTTTATGGATTTCTCTGTGAACAGGGGATGTAGCTGGTTGGGATTTTTTTTTTTTTTTTTTCTCTCTAAACCCTTAGGTGAAAACAGCACAAGTATGGGTGCGCTTTGTTATTTTTTTAAGGTGAAATTCTTCTGCCTTCTCATGCAAAGTAGAAATTCTCATTCTCTCCCAGAGATGTGAGAATCTGATGCAAGAAACAGGAAGAACAATGTCCCAGCTGATGCACAGCTGGAGCATCAGCATACTGAATTAAGAGCAGAGGGAATAGCTTCCCTTCAGTCTTCTGCATTTAATTTTACCCTTTTACAAGTCATTTTAGTCAACTACGAGCAACAGCTTCTCAACAGCATTAGTCAAGGAAAATGTTTGATCAGCTTTTCCGGTGCAAACACCTTCTGTGCTCTCTTGGA